AAATATGTATAATTAAGCGAAATAAGCCAATCTCAAAAGGTTTTACACTAAATGATTCCAACTATATGACATTCTGATAAAGCCAGAACTATGGACGTAGTAAAAAGATCAGTGCTTGTTGCCAGGTGTTATCACGGAAGGAGGGGTGAATGGGGAACACAGCTTTTTGAAGCTGTATGAAGCTATGATGGTAGATAAATGTCATTATACATTTGTCAAAACCTACAGAAATTTACAACACTAACAGTGAAAGGTAATGCAAATGATGAATTTGGCTGTGAATGTATCAGTGTAAGTAAGCTTGTATGAATGTAACAAATGTGCCACTCTTGTGTGGGACACTGAGGGGGGAAGGAGTATCATGGGCAGGGGTACATGGGGGCACTATGTACTTCCCACTCAATTCTGTGGACCTAAAATTGTTCGGAAATAGGAAATCTTAAAAAAAAGAAAAAAGAAAAGAGTGTGCCTTGCCAGGACTAGCACTCTACTCAAAATATAAGGAAAATTAAGGGTTTATATTTAGAAGACAAAGACACAAAGTAGGGGGGAAGCGGGAGGAGGGGGGGCAGTGAGCATCTAAGAACTGATTTTATACAATGAGTTCTGCTTGTGGCTAAGCAGTTTGTATCAAACCAAATGTTGTTGCCAAGAACAATTAGAAATGGCGAATAAAATTTATAAATACATAATGTTTTAATACCAAAGAGCAACCAAGGTACTGAGGACTGGAAAGATAAGTTCCCTCCCTCAGAGAGAAGAGAAGTCTATAAACTCAATATTTAAAGCCACTTTTCTCTCAGTATTTAAAGTCAATTTGTAAAGCAAAACTGGGAGGCTAAGCAGCCAAGCAGAACCTAGGAAGCGGAAACGATGCAAAAGCACATGGATTCTCATGAGCCGGGGGCACCGAAGTGAGAGCGGAGCATCTGCCACAAAGCAAAGGTCCTGGTAACCAAGGTAGAATTTCAGTTGAGATCAGAAAGAATTATAATAAGTGGTGGGCTGGATCTAGCTTTCACAGTTCACAAGCCATGGCTGGGTTCCTCTCTTCCAACATCCTTATTCAAAGATGTCGCAATAGTAGTCTGAACCAGGCGAGAATGGAAATACACACACTATGGGAATCAGCAAAAAAGTTGTCAGCCTATCACTGGCAGGATACAAAAGGCACAGATAAACCAGGACTGCCACAGTTTGAAACATTAATCTCACATCAGTTAAAATAATTAGCCCTTAACACAAACCCTGGAAAGCACAAAATTAAATCCTTCCTGAGGAAGTGACATTATAGACTAGAAGCTATTGCTTTAAAAAAAAAAACAAACCACACACACACACAAAACAATAGCTATCATTTAGTAAAAATGATCAAGTACATGAAGGGACAAATGACTGAAGTCAAAGGGAACAAAAAGACAAAAGAAAACAGTTAATATTGGATCCAGCTGTTGGAGAACTCAGACCAGGCTTTAAGATAAAATACATTTAAAGGAAAATATGAGGAATTTCACTAGGACATGGAATCTATGCAACATAATCAAATTATAACTCTAGAAGTAAAAATAAAATACATTAACTAAAACTAGAAATTCCACAGATCAGTTTTCTAGCAGGTTATAAAGAGATGAAGAGAGGCTTAGTGAGGTAGAAAAGCACCCCAAAACATTAATACACGTACAAATGCACACTGAGATGGGGGAGGGCTGGGCTGGGGCTGAGCGACTGCTTCTCTGGGAGAACTAGGACTGACAATTTCTCTAGGGATGATGCCATGCCACTGTGGAGTCTCAGCAACTAATTAGTACAGAAAGAAACTAGGACATAGGTGAAGAGGACACCATATAAACATGGAGACCAAAGACACTATATTAAGACACTGGGAACATAATGAAAATATCTAACATGTAGAGCTGAAATCCCAGAAGAAGAAGCAAGAGAAGAAATACTTGAAGGAAATTGATGACACTGTCCAAAGCTCATGCACGATCAGGGCAGAGGAAAGAAGCCCAAAGAATCCCAAGCAGAATGAAGTATTCAGGAGGGAGCTAAGGTAAAGAAGGGATCTTATTACAAAAATCTGATAATGTGCTTCTGTCTAATGGAATAAAATTGATTGAAATCCAGGAGAGACTCACAAAGGTCTTGAGAAAAGTAACTACCTTTTATGGCAAAGGAAGGATAACACAGAAGTAGAACCACAGGCCAAGTAACACAGAAGCGCAAGGGTTATGTAGCGAGCGTACTATGTTTAAGGAGGGGCTGAGGGAATTGTCAGGCCTCCATGAATTCGACTTCCCACATTAGGTGACTGATCAAATATTTAAGGCAGAGATAGTAGAAATTCTATCCAAACACTTCCAATAATATGTGGAAGGTAGAATACTTCCCAACTCATTCTATGAAGCCAACATCACGCTGATACCAAAATTAAGAAGCCATTACAAGAAAACTACAGCTCAAACTTCTCCATAAACAAAGATGCAAAAATACCAACAGGGATGCTGACAACTATATAAGTTGCCATACTAATATTGGAGTGTGGAAAATACCCACTTTTACATAAGGATGGATAAGTTGTGATTTTGCATGCGATGGATACAATGGCTATGGAACTGGATGAACTACAAGTACTTCAGAAACTGACTGGTCTCTCCATCACAGTACTAACTGTAAAAAAAAAAATAATTCAAACACTGATGAGGCCGTCCTTGGTGGCGCAGCGGAAAAAAGCACAGCACTAAGAAGCTAAAGCCAATTCAGCATGAGTTCGATCCCCACCTGCCCCAGAGGTGACCACATAGCATGGCAGTCCTTTCCTGACCCCCTCACTGCTCCCCTCCAGCAGTGGACTTCATCAGTCCTGCTCCCCACTCTGTCTCTGGTGAATCCTCTCACCGCCCCTGCATCTCTGGCCTATACCCCAGTTCTATATGCACAAATAAAAAAAAAATTCAAACATTGATGAATTCTTTCATTTATATTAGCTTTAAAAACAGCCTCTAAATTATTAGAATAAGGGAGAATGATTTCCTTTGGAGAATGGGAGAAAATATTAAGGGGAAGTGTCTAATTCTAAATTTTCTGCAGTATAATTCTAAATTTTTTTATTAAAACATTTAAAAATGGATAAAGTGGATGATACATATGTAAGTCACTGTTGGGAACTGGGGGTGGAGGGAACAGATGACTAGAAAAAGGTAAATGGGAACTTGAGAGGCTTTGGAACTGTTCTATATCTTGACTGTGGTGGTAGTTAAGACCACTAGATGCATTTATCAAAACTGAAGGAATTAACATCAAATGGAGTCATTTTTGTTGATATAAACTATAGCTCAGTAAAAATTACAATTTAGATATAAAAATTATGAATTAGGGCCCTCCCTGGTGGCGCAGCAGGTTAAAGCGCAGCACTGAGAATCTAAAGCCGCTTCCGCATGAGTTCGATTCCCGCCTGCCCCGGAGGTGACCACATGGTGTGGCAGACCTCTCCTGGACCGCCCGCTGCTCCCCTCAGCAGTGTACTACGTCGATCTGCCTGTTCTGCTCCCCACTCTGTCTCTGGTGAAGCCTCTCGCCGCCCCTGAGCCTCTGGCCTGTACCCCAGTTCTGTATGCACAAATAAATAAATCTTTAAAAGAAAATAAAAAAAATAAAAAAATAAAAAAAATTAAAAAAAAGTAAGATTAATTGATAATTTTTTTAAAAGATTTATTTATCTTTAAAAGAAAATAAAAAAAATAAAAAAATAAAAAAAATTAAAAAAAAGTAAGATTAATTGATAATTTTTTTAAAAGATTTATTTATTTGTGCATACAGAACTGGGGTACAGGCCAGAGGCTCAGGGGCGGCGAGAGGCTTCACCAGAGACAGAGTGGGGAACAGAACAGGCAGATCGACGAAGTACACTGCTGAGGGGAGCAGCGGGCGGTCCAGGAGAGGTCTGCCACACCATGTGGTCACCTCCGGGGCAGGCGGGAATCGAACTCATGCAGAAGCGGCTTTAGATTCTCAGTGCTGCGCTTTAACCCGCTGCGCCACCAGGGAGGGCCGAATTAATCTTACTTTTTATGTAAGCAAAAGTAAATTATCTGCAGTGCTGTAATGTGCATTTTCTATTGATTAGATGAGAATAAAATGATTGAAAATGGCCACATCTGAAAGTGATTATAATAAGTAAAAAAACAGTCAGAAAGTGACAGACAGATGCTGGATGGTTTCACTAATTTGTGGACTATAACTAAAGAACATATACTGGCACAGCACAACAAAATTAATTGTTAGACTGCAAAAAAAATATACTGGTCCCCAGATGGAATGGGTGGGGGAGAGGGAGGACAAGATTAGAAGACACAGGGCATTACCACAGAGTCTTGGTGGAGGCTGAGAGAAGCATGTGCCTATATGGAGGTGTGAAAATGTAACTCCCCCAAAATTACATGGATATGCAAATGACTGACAACTTAATTAGAAAATATTTTAATGGACGGCAAAATATTTTCTGCAAAATATTTCCTTGCCTGTATACATTGAAACTTGGGAAATTAAAACGATGAATATTTGGGAAAAACAAATAATGATAATTCACTTTGGTTTTGCCAAAAAAATAAATTAAAAAAATAAACGCTTAAAGTATAAGGCCAATTAGTGATTACCAGAGGGAAGGGAAGAGGGAATTTGGATAAATAGGTAAAAAGGGTCAATTATATAGTGATGTTACTGGACTTTCAGTGGTGAACTTAATACAGTATGAATACCAAAACTTATAAAATGCAATGCTACTTCAATTTAAAAAGAGACAGGGAGGGAAGGAGAGATGGAACCTCACTTCAAAAGAAGAAAAAGGTGATATTTTAGCTCCCTACGGTCACTCATCTTATATAAAGTTCCTCTCTACCTCTAACATCAGCTTGGGAAACTCCCTTATTTTGTAATGAAAGGGTCACCCCATGAGCGTGCTGTGTGAGGTGGTCAGGTCCCTTCCGATAAGTGTGCCTTACCACTTGAGCTGGAACTTGTTCCATTTTTGCAGCAGGAGTTCCTGGTCTTGGGTAAAACTGGTTAATAAAGAGACTTGGAAATTTGTATTCCTCAACGAGTTTCACTGTTTCTTGAAAATCTTGATCCGTTTCTCCAGGAAAACCACAGATAATATCTGTAGCAATAGTTATTCCAGGAACTCTAGAAAATAACAAGACAAAAATGTAAAAAGCGGACTACAAACCATAATTATCCTATTTCCCAGACATTTTAAATTCCATTACTCTTTTTAAGATTAAATTATATTTTTAGGGAAGGGACATTTGCAAATAGCCTTAGAGAGCCCTAAATAGCAGGGGTTTATGAAAACAGTGCACCCCCTCCTCTTTGTGTCCATAAGAGCTATCCATTTTACTCCTTTAGAAGATTCTTTCTTCTTCAGTATTTTACAATAGTTGGTTATTCTGCTATTTCTAGTGTTATTAAAATTTTAGGCACTATTTTCTAACTTTTCTAGGTGTGATTATCAAAATTACATTGAAAATTCACTAAAAACATACTTTTACAGGAAGCCATAGATACAAGACTTACCCTGAAGAGACTTTTCTAGATTTATCAAGCACTTGGAATAGAAAAATTATGTCAATAACTTCAATTGACTAATTTTACTTGACTATTAACTACTCCTGAGCAAAACAATTCTACAACTAAAGATAAAAGTAATGGATCACAGGAGACAGGACTGGGAAGAGTCCTCTCTATTAGGAAAATAAAAGAAAAATCTTAGAAGCTGCCTGTGAAACACTACATAAACAAAGACAACTGGATATTGGCCTATACTATGAATGGGGATGAAGCTGGCACTAGCGGATGGGGTATTCCCAAAGGAAAGTACCTTACTGATTGCCATTCCCAACCCCCTACTCTTCTTGATCCTGTGCAGCTGAGCTCATATTATGCAACACTTGATTACTTTGGCCTTAAGGTCCTCATTTAAAAAGAAAAGAATCTTTACAGGAGTCATACTAAATGTTAAGGACAGGGATGTTTAATGTTTGGGTATGCTTGAAAATCGACATAAAATGTTGACTGATAACAGGTGAGGAAGGAAATAGGTCAGTAGGATTTAGTCAAGAATCTAGGTCAACATTGAAAAGTAAAAGTAGTTTAATTGATTTCAAAGTATTAAGAAAATAAATTGACTGCTTATAAAATATTTTTAGATAGACTGCACTTTAATGTTAGATGAGCCTCATCTATACATTAATTTTATATGTACAAATGATGCTACTTAGGTTTTTAAGAATAATTAGGTTCCTTAGAAGAAATAGTCAAAAATGCCTATAAAATAGTTCTCTTCGTATATGAGAAAATCAAAGAGGTTTTGAAGTGAATCAAAATCCAAATTAACAGTATATGACTTAAGAAGCTCTAAGGAAATTATAAAGGGTTTAAGTCAGAATACTAATCCGAATATTTAAGATGCTAATTTTAAGTAAATGCTGTTTTTGAGAAGCTATGAATCTTCAAATATACTAAAATTTTTTAGAATTATCATTTCTACATATTTATCAAAAATGTAATGTATACTACTATTAGATATTATGAGTTTTGAAATTTCAAAAGCTTTCCATATTTATGTTTTTGTCATTTCAGTAAATACTTCTGAAAGCAATATGGAAATGTTCAGCTAGTTTCAGTAACACAAAATTTTTGAACCATTATTTGATGACTTATACAAGTTATTTACTACAAAATGGGTTGATAGAGTAACTTGGGAATGGAATTTATGTAAAAGATTCCGACTATACATTTGTTTCAGCAGGAGCAGTGTTCTCAGTTATGAAAATCAGGGGCATGTGAGCCTTGACTATGACTTATTAAATTCCTTTATATTTTAATGCTTATTTACCTTGAATAAAAATACAGATATGCACACATACCATTCTATATTTCATATACTACTTAAAATTTTGTTTTTAAGTTCACCTCAAGATTTTCACTTGCAATTTTGTATCACACTAGGAAAAATATGAAAATGAATGATCCTACTTTTCTTTTTAGACCAATAAATTATGAACTTGATTCCACATGTGAAAAAAGAAAGACGAACACACATGCTACTTATCACAAAAGAAAATAATAATCAACAAAGGAATCAAACTCTTTAAAATTCTTAAGCATACATAAAATATTTATTAAAAGAAATATTTTTTAGTCCTATGGAGATAAGCTCCAGGATAATTATACAATATTTTCAAGAAAAGTATACTGGAAGGGAAGAAAAAAAATCTTATTCTGAAATCAAAATGAAAATACAATGTAACTAGTATTTATGAACTTAAATATCTGCATTATAAAGAGGTAAATTCAACAAAGTTTTTACTACAAGAAACCTAAAAAAAAAAGGGGGGGCAATGAAACTTAAAGTAAGATACAGAAAGGAAATAAGAGTCAAAAGATGAAATCATCAAACAGGAAATAAAAAGATCAATAAAGTCCATAAATTACTAACCTACTAGCTAGACTGAATGACAACAGCAGCAGAGATGTATTAAAGGATGCTAAGACATCTGATACAAAAACAAACCCTATAGAAAATTGGGCAGAAGAGCTAAAAAAGAAATTTCTCCAAATCAGAAATGCCAAAAGGTATATGAAAACTCTAAACATCACTTGTAATTAAGGAAATGCAAATCAAAACCACAATGAGATGCCACCTTACACCAGTGAGACTGGCCCATATTTAAAAATAAAAAACAAACAAACAAAAAACCCTGGCAATAACAAATGCTTGTGAGGATGTGGACTTTTCTGGAACTCTTTGACACTGCTGGTAGGAATGCAAACTGGCTCAGCCACTATGGAAAGCTGTGTGGAGGGAGGATCCTCAAAATACTAAAATGGATCCATCACAAGATCCAGGGATTTCACGCCTAGGAAGCTACCCCACACAAAACCACTAATTGCAAAGGAAATCTACACTCTTATGTTTACTGCAGCACTATTTATAATAGCCAAGATAAGGAAACAATAATCCCAAACAGAGGAATGGATCAAGATGTGCTTGGGGGGGGGGGTGTGGTATCCATAATGGAATACTATTCAGTGATCAAAAAGATAAAAATGCCATTTGCAGCAGCATGGATGGAGCTGGAAGGAATTATTCTATGCAAAATAAGTCAGATGAACAATGAGAAATATTGGACAGGTTTTACTTATAGATGGAATATGAGGAAAATGAACAAAGGATCAGGAAAATCACAGATCTGAGATATACAGCAGGGGAGGGAGAGGGATCAAGAGAGGGAAGGGACAGGAACAGGTGATGGCTCACAGGTGCAATGGTGGTGGGAGAATTATGGAGTCTACATCTGAGAGGAAAAATAAAATATTGCACAAAAATTAACAAAGGTGTAAGAAAATAAAAAATAATAATAAAGGGATGCAAAGTGTGAGCATAAAATGAATAGTGGTATGCAATAAATGAAACAGATGACATGAGAAAATTTTGTAAAACATATAAATTATAAAAACTTACTCAAAAGGAAAGATGTATAAAATTTGAATTTATAATTAAGAATCTTGCCACAAGAAAGAAAACAATATACAACAGTCCAGGACAATGGCTTCCTTGTGAATTCTTTCAAATGTTAAGAGAGAGAACCCATTCCTACAGAAAGCGTTTCAGAGGAGACAAGAATTCATTTTACAATTCCTGCCATAGCCTACATGAAAAGAAAAGAGAGATCAGAAATAAACTCTACACCAATATCTCTAAGGGACGCAGAGTCAAAAACTTGGAACAAATTATTAGCAAGCTGAACCCAGAAACATATTAAAAGGATTGAAAATCATCACCAACTTTTAACTACCAATACCAATAAGGTTAGCTTAATATGCAATTGTCAATTCTAAGAGACCACGTAAAAGCTATATTCTTATTTGGGCATAAGACCTGAAACCATAAAATAGCAAAGAAAATTAAAGATAAAACACTACAAGACATACATCTCAACAATATATTTAAAGCCTTTTCACCCAGAGCAAAGAAAATGAAGGGAAAGATAAACACAAGGGACTACATCAAACTTCTGCAGAAAAGCTTCTGCACAGCAAAAGAGATGTTAACCAAGATAAAGAGACACCCTACGGACTCCATAAACAGACAAAAGACTGATCCCAAAGATATCCAAACAGTTCACTCAAATCAACAAAAACAAAAACAAACAACCCAGTCAACAATGGACAGGAGAACTTAAGACATTTATCCAAAGAGGAATTGCAAATGGTCGACAGGCCTGTGAAAAAATGTTGGACATTCCTCATAATCAGGGAAATGCAAATCAAAGCCACAATGAGATACCACCTGACACCAGTGAGAATGGCAAATTATCAAAAAACAAACAAAAAAACAAACAAAAACAAAAAACCAACAACTGTTGGAGAGGATGTGTTGAAAAAGGAACTCTCCGACATTGCTGGTGAGAATGCAAACTGGTACAACCACTATGGAAAGATGTATAGAGATTCCTCAGACTACTAAAAATGGAGCTACCATACAACCCAGCAATTCCACTCCTATGAATCTACCCAAAGGACACAAAAACATTAATTCAACATTATATATATATATGAATCCTCTTCAGCAATCAAAAAAGATAAACTAATGCCATTCGCAGCAAGTGAAAAGAAACAAGAAAAATAGTGAATGGTTTCACATATAGTAGGAATTTAAGAGCACCAAATAAGATGGGGATGGGGTGGGGGAGTCTATTGTTATTACAGTACAAAACACAACCAAACAATATAAAAGCAAATAGTCAAGTATAAACCAGAGAGATCCTACAAGGGAGGGGGACAGGAGGAGGGAGGAATGGGGGGGTTATGGTGACAATGCCAGGGGGAGGGAGTAAGTAAACACTGTTATAAAATGAACAATAATGTAATTAGACATATAAAAGTAAAGAAAAATAAAAGATATAATCTTAGTAGACTAAGAAAACTTAACAAATTCAACACACATTGATTTTTTTTTTATATATAAGTCAGTAAGCAAGGAATAGAAGGAAAATTTGTCGTATTCACCTATAGTATTATCACCTGTATTGATGAAAGGTTGAATGCTTTTTACTAAAATTGGTAACAAGGCACAGATTTATGTTCTCACTTAAATTATTGGAGGTTGTTGTAGTCAGTGT